GTTAAATAATCTACAGTGGGGAGGTCACTCGTGAAGCGAGGGCAGGGGCCAGGGGTATGCACTAGCCAATCGATTAAAATGCGTGCGGGCGGATTCGAATTGGTGCTGCGATTGATGTTGAAAAAGAAATGCAGGCTAGGCCTTATTTGGTAGGGGCTGAACATAGGGTGCTCTTGGCGCTACCTCGAAAATGGCGATTTTTTTCGCCTCCTATCTCCGTACCAGCGAGATCCAGTCACCAAATTGTCACGTCTCCGCTGGTAAAAAGGTTGACCTCTGGCCATTCTAACGAGTCCTGCCCTGTAAGCGGATCCCATCAGACGGCCGCCCCAAGCAACACCAACAACCCCTGGTAACACCCTCCGATGCGAAGCGGCGGCCCCTGTTGCCAATAATAGCGGCCGTTCACCAGAGCGTGATTGGCTGCGCAATGGATAACTGGGCCCGGGGCTGCGGGCGGGCGGCGGCAATGCTGCACTATCTGCAGGCAGAGGTGCGGGCAGTGGGCTCCAGTCCTCGATTGTGGTGTTGGCTGTGCTGAAGCAGCACACACACCAAATCTACCAAACCCTGGTCTGGGCGCCAATAGCGGCAGCCAGCGCCACTGCGAGACAAGCCGCGCCGCATGCATCTGTGCGTGAGCTCCCTCACTCCGAGCACAGCGACCCAACGCCTCCCAGCGTGAATGGGTCCATCCCATCCGAGACATGCCAGCCTGTCCCTCAGCTGGACCCCCGCAGACCATGATCCCAAGGTGTCCAAGGCGCCCAAGCTCCACGCCAGCCTTGGCTGGGTTGTTGGCCGGGGGCGGCTGCGTGGTAGGGCTGGGACCAGGAGCGTATAGAACTCGGTCAGGCCTGCTCTCGGATGGCAGATTAGATGCTGCCCGGCCCGCTCGCTCCCACACCCACGCTCTATTGCATAGTCTCCGGCCTCTGTCGTGCCTCGTGCTCTCGCGTGCCGGTGTGGTTCTCGCAGTCCGCCTCGAAGGGAAGAATCCTGACGCCATCTCGCCAGAGTTAGCGCCGCCCACGCTACCACGCCCTTCAGGCTAGGTCTCTACCTCAGCCGCACAGCGGTTCCGGCGCCATCGTGGTCTGCTCTGCCTGGCCCTTGAGAACTGGTCATCGATCTGGGAGCCAGATCCACCCAGGGGCACCCAGCAATATAAACATATCCATATTTGATCCCCACCGAGTTTCGCTCGGCAGGCGCTGCCCTACAACACTCATCCACAACCTCGAATCTGGGTCGCGTCGTGCCCACTGCAGCACCCCCCTGTTATCCCGGTTTGATCGTTGTTTCGCTGGATCTTTTCGCTTCGCCCTAGAAAAGTGGACTCGATATACGAATAAGTAGCCTCGGCTGCCCATCCGCGTCGTCTTCGCGGGTGCTACTGGCCCTTTGTTGTCGTCGTCGTCGGAAGGGGTTTCTGGAATTCCTCGAACCTCGAACAAGCGCCTGGTTGCGCAAGGGACCGACCGACCAAACAACATCAACCAAGAGGGCGCTCGTTGCCAAGACCAACCGCCCGCCTGCCCGCCATGTCCTCCTACTACAACAACGGCCGCGACGACTCGCGCAGGTTGACCAGCTCGGCCCAGCGCCCGCTGCACCACCAAGTCTCCAACATATCCGAAGTCAGCGACTTTGGGAGGAATCAGGACGAGGCCGGCCCCGGTGCTGGCGCCATCAAGGGGCGTCCTTCGCTGGTATCTCTACCCTCCATGGCCTCCCTTCAGAACCCTAGCAGTCCCTCGAGCTATCAACCCGGTCCGGCAACACAACAATACGCAACGGCTGCTGCACCGACATATGCCCAGCAACAGGCTTACGTGAGCCCGACAACTCACTCGTATGCTGGATGGGCTGCATCGTCGCCTTTTGGGCTGACCGCCCCCGGCGGCGTGTACTCGCCAGTCGGCGAGACCCACCACCGGCACGCCTCGGCGGCAGATGAGCCCTCGGGCAACCCCGCAAAGGATCGGCGCAAGTCGCGGAGGCTCCAGGACACTATTCCAGAAGAGGGGGAGATGGGGGACATGTCGTCGGCGAAGCGTTCTTCCCAACCGTGGGGCAACCCCTCCACGCCCTACTTCTCGGTCCCAAACCAGGAGCCGGAGCCGGTGTACGACCTCAGCACGGTCGGTGGTGATCTACCTTGGGGCGGCACTATGGACGCCGACACGGCCGCCCTGTTCCAGAAGCAGGAAGCGAGTGGCCACCTAACCGGAGGACTCGGTGAGGGCTTCCGGTCCAACACAACCATCCGCCAGGCGGATCTGGTGGCGGCAGCTCCCAATTCGCCCTTGGCAAGTCCGAACCAGGCAAAGCGCAAGTCGATGCTGGGCCGCAAGGCCACCATCAAGGCCATGCTCGGGCGCAAAGCCACCGTCAAGGACCTTGGTCAGATCGAGGCCAACCGACGGGGTGAGATTATCGAGGTCGTCATGGACGCGGAGATCCCGCTGCCGCCGCAGCGCATCACACCCGCCGATACTTTCGACCTGAGCGAGATGGGAGGACCCCTCGGCGACAAGGGTGACTTTAGCATGCGCACGTCGACGTTCCCCGTGCGCCAGCAGACCACACAGGTCTTCTACCCGCAGCCGAACTGGAAGCCCTTTGTCATGAGGCCGCTGTTTCTGGGGCTCCTCATCACCCTGTCGGTTGCGCTCGGTATCGGCCAGGAGGTCCTGTACCGCGCGTCGACCGCCCAGCCGCTTCTCAAGTTCCGAACCCCCGAAGAGATTCCCCGCGGTCTCTACTTCGCCTTCAAGTTCCTGCCGACCATGATCTCGGTCACGTACGGCGTTTTGTGGTCCATGGCCGACTTTGAGATCCGTCGTCTTGAGGCCTTCTACCAGCTGTCCAAGGAGGATGGCGCGTCGGCTGGCCACTCCATCAACGTCGACTACATCACCTCCTTCAGCTTCATGAGGCCTGTGCGCGCCCTGCGCTGCGAGCACTACGCCGTGTTCATCTCTTCGACTGCTTCGCTGTTGGCCATCTCGCTGGTGCCGACGCTCGTGTCGGCCTCCATCATTCTGTCTCCTGATCGGCACTCCAGGATGCTGGACCCCATGGGCGAGAAGACCATCAGCATCAACGGTGTCTGGTCGCGTATCTTGACGACCATGCTATTCGTCATCGCTGGCTTGGGTTGCGCGCTGCTCTATCAGCTGCAAACGAGGAGGTCTGGTCTGCTCTCCGACGTCAAGGGGATTGCTGGTCTGGCGTCCATGGCCGTTGTCAGCCGTGAGTTGATCCTTTTGTCGCTTGATTTTCTTGAATGCCGGTTGCGATAGGCTGTTTGAGTACTAACCCTCTATTTGCTTTACCGTCGCAGACATTCTGATGGACTTCAAGGACATGGATCTTGCTACGCACCATGACATCCACCAGAAGCTCAAGAAGCGCCGCTACGTCCTTCGCAACTCGTCGCTCGCGCCGGACGACAACAACAAGACAACTAGCAAGCAGGAGACGAAGTTAGAGGACCTGGACAAGGAAGACGGCATTACAGAGAACCCGCACCCGCTCATGCTTCGGTCCGTGGGTGTGGGGTCCCTGGTGGTCGGCATTGTTCTCTTCATCATCCTCGTCCAGGTGGTTCTCTTCACCGAGGCGACGGTGCTGACGGATCAGGCGCCCTGGGTCATCACTGCGCTCTCGGTTGCCATCAAGATGAGCTGGTCCGGACTGGACACGGACATGCGCATGATGGAGCCGTACTACATCCTCTGGCGGCGGCACGCCGAGGCCAAGACACTCACGCTCGACTACACAGCCATGCCCTTTGGCTGGGTCGCCATACAGGGCGCGCTGAACCGACACTTCCTCATTTTCTTCGTCGGCCTCGGGACCGTCATGTCGGAGGTGCTGACCGTGTTAGCGACCTCGCTCGCCACCGTGTCCGGCCGCGACTTCCTGGACATCGTCAAGAAGTCCAGCTCGGGGCAGTCGGACCCCAACGCGGACTGGACCAGGATAAGCTCGGGCCAGGAGACGGTGCTGTCCTTCTGGGCCACGCACAGCATCACGACCTTCATCCTGGTGTACATGGCGGCCGTGGCGACGGCGGTGCTGGTGCTGCGCCGCCGCCCGTTCCTGCCGCGGCAGCCCAACACCATCGCGAGCGTCCTGGCCTTTATCCACCAGAGCAAGATGATCTACGACTTTGTGGGCACGTCCAAGCTCAAGACATCGGCCATGGCCAAGCGGCTCGAGCAGGGCGGCAAGACGTACGGCGTGGGCTGGTTCCAGGGCCGCGACGGTAACACGCACTGCGGCGTGGACCAGGAGGAGCTCTCGAGCGGATACAAGTTCGGCTATGACTACTCCAAGGCCAAGGAGCCGTGGATCGCGTCGCAGGAGTGGATGTAGCGTGGTTCGGATTCGGACATTAATGAGGCGCTATCTGGGCCGCTCGGGTGGACAAGGATATGCGGGATAGGTTCTGCTGAGTATGGGGGGCTTGGTTTCCCCGTAATCGGTAATCACGATAATAGGTCTGGCAATACATAAGACAATAATATACTCTCTTGGTTAGCACTCGCCGTTGATAGATGTGAGATGTGGTTCATGGCTGTTGTAGGGACATAGTAGGTAGGCACCAACCGAAAAAAAAAAAAAAAAAGGCGAGCCACTAAAACTTTCCCCCCCATACAAACTCTATAGCAAAGCATCAATCTCAATCAAAACAAACCCAATTCGCGATGCCTCAGCACCATTCTACGCCTAAAAAGGCACGGCTTCAAGGCGCTGTTGATTACCTAGAATCTTGACTGCCCATTAAATTGCATAGAAAAAGCAGTCAATTCCTATTTTTTGATAAACAGCTTTTTGAAGTGTGCCCCTATTTTGGTTGGGGCTCGTTTTTTGTTTTCGGTTGGTGGTAGGTAGGTAGGAGGTAACAAGTAAGTATTCCCATAGTGCAACTACATTCCCCTAGTGCCCCTGCTTGTAGTTCTTCACCCCCAACATCCTGCCCAAGACCAAACCAACCGACGATCCTCCACGTGCTAGCGAGTCCCGGGCGTGGCGGTGTAGTGCAGATCTTGATCGATCGCCTTTACGACAGCAACCAGGCGTATGCTCCGCATAGCAAAACGCCGCATTTTCCCTCCCTCGATCTTCATCTTTTGGCCCTCCCGAAATTGCAAGGAAGCGCCGGTGGAGGCGTTCGCCGGTTTGGCTATGTGTCAGTCAACCGGGGGGTTTTGCGGGGCGGGAAACCGGGTTGTTTCTGGAGCGTCGGGCTTTTTTCTTCTTCTGCTCGGTAGCCACCGTGCCACCGTCATGTTTGATCATCCAGGTCGGCGCGGTTGTGCGGTGGCCGAGTGCCGTGTGGTGGTGGTGGGAGCGGGAGTCAGCCGTGTCCCCCTCCCTTCCCCTCTCTGTTCAGGGACAAGAAAACAAGGACGACGGCCGAGTTCGCTGTGCGATGATGCAAGCCACGCTGCCGACTCGCAAGCGGCTACAGTCAGTTGAGTGTGGGTGGGCGGATGGGACGAATGCATGACGCAAAAAGGGCGTTGGTCAACCGGGAAACCGGCCATGAAGGAGATGCATGCAGGCCAGAATCCAATTCACTCCATCTGATGTCCTTGCTAGCTGGCTGGCCGTACTGTAAGCTCAGCAGCCCGCTCACGACGATAAGAAACGCCTACGAGATGCAATGCAATGCAGCAGCACGCTGCGGGATAGACGCCAGCTGAGCTGCACTTGCAGTCAATCCACCCACCCTGTGCGGGCGACCACTCCACCCCCAAGCCAACCACCCATGACAGCCGCAGTCAAACGCCCTGTGGCCCTCCCTCAATGCGCCCTCACCCCCAAGGACGACCAAGGGCCGAGCCCAGCATGCCCAGCCAGCGCCGTGAATGCAGGCTCGTGTGCTGTTCTGCGTAGCGCGTCTTGGTATTTTCTTCGGGTCTCTTGGTGTTTTTGGCATCATTTCATTGTTGCCTGGACTTTGTGTTCCCCATGCCCCCGCTCGACCTTGGTTGTCGCTTGCTGTGCCGCGCGAGAGCCAAAAGAGCACACCACCACTGCCCAATTGGTCGAGTCGTAATCAAAGATCGAGCCGGCGGTACGTAAGAGGCCGGTGGCTGTGCAAGATGCCATGGGGGGCGGAGGGGAGCACTGAAGCGACCTTTAGGACTCGTAATGAGCTCTTGGCGAATTCTCGACGCAATGAGTGTTTTGGAAGGCCCAGGCTTTTTTATCGTTTTGCTCTCGTCGTTCCTGTTTCCCACCCACGTCCCACCCACCGCCCACCTGCCAGAGCCCAGGCGGCTTGGCCGATCTGCTTTGCGTGGCAAGCGCGGGCGCGAGAATGTGCCAAGGCCGCCCGCCCGGCACTCCACCACACACACAAGGCAGGCGTGCGTGGACTTTTGTTAGCCTTTTAGTATCGGCAGCTGGGCAGGCCGATGCGCAAAGATGACGACCACCGTTCAGTGTTCGAGGGCCGCCGTCATCAGTCAATCCCCTCTGCAGGGACGTGTGGTGGGGAGCAAGGCATTGGCCACAAGCTGGGGAGACACAGACAATGTCGGTATTCTCTACCAGGCGTGACTGCGCCTCCATTGCAACTTGATTGTTTTATCGCCGGGAATGTTTGATTGCGCTTGTGCTGAGAAGTTCTCTTCACAAGTCATGCATCCATCACAAGGCTGGATTTATGTGCGTCGTCCCTGGAACTTATGCTCCGTCGTGTATGCGTAACGAATATTGGTGTAAAAACAAAATACATTTACGATGGCTGGGAACCGTCGCCTGATCCCCGCAGTGAGCAGACTGGCCACAGGCAGAAAGGATACGAGCGCTCGCCTACCTAAGCGGGAAAGAAAGAATGCCATAATTCCCAAACATCAGGGTTGTGGCGGCGCTGACGAAGCGGCGGGCGGCGAGCGGGCCAGCGGATACGAAACCACCACGCCCAGGTGCTGCCCTGAACCGGTACCTGCCGCGAGCGAGGGAGGCATCAGGGATAGCGCTGCCTCGATGCTGAACCTGGGCCACCCGTTTTTAGATTGTGCATGCTGGTAATGCACACCTCGCTGACACACGCTGCTGGTGCGGGCGCCGTACCCACCCGCACTAACAAAAGGAACCAGGCCGCCGGACTGGCCTTTTGTAGCCGCCCCGCCCTCGGCCAATCACGTCGCAGCCCGGTTTTCCCAGCCCCTATTGGGGTGTCGCCTGCCTTCCCCTTTCAAGTGGTATGGCCCAAGAGTCCCGGCGACTCCCAGCGGGAGCGAGACCCTGTTTTTCCCTCTTCATTCCCCCGACTGGCAGTTCATTCATTCAATTCCCAACCCATAATCCTCCCTTTTCCTCCTCCCTCTTTCCTTCTCCTGGCGGGATATCCCACGACGCGACCATCCATTTCCCCCCTCCAATCGTTTTTTAAGAACAGGCTTCTGGGAAACGGGGGATTTTCCATCTGATCAACGAGCAGCAGACGTCCCTCGCTTGCATCTCCTGCCGACCGACACCACACAGGCCTTTGCCAAATCGATACCCGTGACTTGGAACCCCCAACTCACTCCGAACGACGAGAACTGCCCCGATTGCTACCGAATCACGGATCTCGGCTACAGCGACCGGGTACCTGCAATACGACCGACGACGGTCGATCCAGCCGGTGCTGAAGCGACACGCGGGCTGCAAATAGAAGCCTGACTATCGGGGGACCGGGCGACCAACCACCACCATGTTCTTTTCTTCCTTACCAAAGGCCTTGTGCCTCCTCCCGGCACTGGCCTCGCTCGTGGCGCCGGTCGCCGGCGAGCGAGTGCTGAAGTCGACCTCCCTGAGCACATGCCAGGAGAACTCGGCCTTCAGCGCCAGTCTCTTCGACGTCGCATACTACCCAGACAACCAGACGGCCATGCTGAACGTCGCGGCCATGTCCTCGGTCGAGGGCAAGGTCATCTTCGACGCGTCGGTCCGTGTCTACGGCTACGAGGCCATCACTATCAAGGGTGACCCGTGCACACAGGGCCTCAAGGGTCTCTGCCCCATGACGGCCGGCAAGATCCCGCTCAACTTCCCCGTCAACAACATCTCGCTCCCCCAGATCCCCAACATTGCCTACACCCTGCCCGACCTCGACGCCAAGGTCCGCGTGTACATCAACCTGACCGAGGGCCCCGACGCCGGCAAGGCCATTGCCTGCGTTGAGGCCTACATCGTCAACGGCAAGACGGTCGACCTGCTCGGTGTCAAGTGGGCCACCGCTATCGTCTCTGGTCTCGCCCTCACTTCGTCGGCCGTCGTCAACGGCCTCGGCCATTCCAATGCTGCATCGCACGTTGCCGCCAATGCTCTGTCTCTGTTTGGCTACTTCCAGGCGCAGGCCATGCTTGGGCTGACCTCAGTCCCCATGCCTCCTGTCGTGCGCGCCTGGACTCAGAACTTCCAGTGGAGTATGGGCATCATCCGCGTCCAGTTCATGCAGGACATGTGCACCTGGTATCAACGCGCCACTGGCGGCACCCCAGCCACTCTGTTCGACGCCCTTTCAACTGTCTCGGTCGAGGTCCAGAAGCGCTCGCTTGACGCAGTCCCGGTTGTTCACGATCTCTTCCGCCGCTCCACGGCCCTGCTCCCCCGCGCCATGACCGCCACTGCTGGCAACCTGTTCAAGCGCGCCAACATCGTTACCCCGACTGGCAGCTTCATCGTGTTCGGTATCCAGCGTGTCGCCTTCAAGGCCGGCATCGAGACCACCAACCTCTTCCTGACGGGTCTCAGCTTCTTTGTCGTCTTCGTCATCCTCGTCACTCTGAGCGTAGCTGCTTTCAAGGGCTTCTGCGAGGTTGCGGCCAAGAAGAACTGGATGAAGCATGATACCTTCCTTGACTTCCGCAACGGTTGGCTCACGGTGCTCAAGGGCATTCTCTTCCGTGTCACCCTTATTGGTTTCCCCCAGATGTCCATCCTCTGCCTCTGGGAGTTTACTCAGGTTGACTCGCCCGCCATCGTCGTCCTCGCCGTCTTCTTCCTGCTCTCCATGATGTTCACGCTCGGTTGGGCTGCCTCCAAGGTCATCCGGATCGCTCGCCGCTCCGTCGCCATGCACCGCAACCCGGCCTACATCCTCTTCTCGGACCCGCAGGCTCTCAACAAGTGGGGTTTCCTCTATGTTCAGTTCCGCGCCTCGGCCTACTACTTCATCGTTCCGTACCTGCTCTACATCTTCCTCAAGGCCATGTTTGTCGCCTTTGCGCAGAAGAACGGCACGGTCCAGGCTGTTGCCTTTGTGCTCATCGAGGCCGGCGCTCTGATCGCGGCCAGTGTGCTCCGCCCGTGGATGGACAAGAGCACCAACTCGTTCAACATTGCCATCTGCGTCATCAACTTCCTGAACGCCATCTTCCTGCTCATCTTCACCGGCGTCTTTGGCCAGCCTCCTCTGGCCACGGGTGTTGTGGGTGTGTTCCTCTGGATCTCCAACGCCGCGTTCGCGCTGGTCCTCCTGATCATGCTCATCGTGACCACGGCCGTCGTGCTCTTCCGCAAGAACCCCGATACCCGCTACCAGGCCATGGCCGACGATCGCACTTCGTTCATGAAGTCGCAGACCCAGCTGACGGCCACGACGGAGCTCGATGCGCTCGCCGCGACGGCCCGTGGTGACAAGGCTGGCTACAACAAGAACGGTGTCGACCTAGACGACGACAACGACTCTCTCTCGTCTGGCTCCATGCCCCGGAGGCATGATGGTGCGAACCCGCAGATGCAGCAGCCTCCGAGGTCTCCTGTCGACCCGTCGGTGCCGCTCTTCCCCGCCGATGCCCGCCGTGGGCCACAGCAGAATTACGCCGGTTCGGTGAACCGCTCCCCGAGCCCGTACCAAAACAACGGGTCAACATCGAACCTCTCGGCATCCGGAGCATTCCGGGCCCAGAACAACGCCAGCCCGGCTGGAGGACCGCGGTCAAACGCCGCCCCAGGGTAAGCTTGATTGATGGTACCTCTATCTATGCGAGATGATTGCTGACTGAGTTCATTATTATAGCCCTTGGCAACGCGGTGCTGGTTACGATTAATTCCCCTGACAATACCTAACTAAATGTGTTTCCACGTCGGCAACTGGGCTCCAATGCGGACCGGTCGCATAGTTCCCGGTGTCTAATTGATTTCTCTTTTTGGGCGATTTACTACCTGTCATCCCGGAACCGGCAATGGTATTCAGGGATTGGCAGCACTAGCCGGCATTGGCTATCCAGTTGGAGACGGACGGCTTGCACGGGAGGGCTCGGATTCGATGGACAGCCGAGCCCATCTCGAGTCTTGTTGGCGTCGCGACATTCAGCATGACACAGGCGTTGGAGAGGGCGGCCAGACACGCGATTGCACTATTTTGTATCTCCTTTCTAAATCTACTCGACGTTGTCACTTTGTTTCTGTCTGTTTTGTCCCTTTGTATTCATTACAAGTTTTCTTTTGTCGCAATTGTATCATTTTCATTCTCAGCGATGCAACTCATCTCGTGTTCGAGATAGCCTGTTGTGAGATTCTCTGATCCTGCCGTCTGTATCTAGTGGATAAAGGAGAAGAAGTCTTACAGCTCCGATATCCCTCCGTCCTGAGCGACATGATGATGCTTCCGGCTCTGCCGATTCACTTTCGTATTCGCCGACCCAGCGAGATTGGCTAACAACCGACAGCCGCATGGGTCCTGCACAGCCCCCAACAAGCGGCCCAATCTCTTGTGTTGGAAATGAGGTGGACCAAGCTTGTCGACAGCCTCGCGGCGCCAGAGTTCTTGTCCCGATGACAGTTTTGGTAATATTGAAGGCTGAACGATTTACGGTTTTACACAGCCTCTCCACTAACGCCAAAATCATAAAAGCTCAACCTGGTTTCTGCGCCTCGACCCCCTGACACCAATGTTGACCAAAGGAAATGGGAAAACGACAAAATTATTACACACCGTCAAGCATTCTACAGACCTGAGGAAGCCAAGGACCCTGGAATGTGGAGGAGTTGGCGGCCCAAGCGGAGGTGCAAGTGCTTGACGGATCCGGACAAACGAGGATAGCGAGATGCTACTGCTTGGAGTAGAGCGGCAACGAAGAGCCAAAAGCTCGAGACAAGAAGAGGAGGAGGGAGGAAACAGAAGAACAGCGAGAAAGAGATGCAGACTGTAAGCGAATAAAACCCCACAAGAACAAAGCAAGAAACAAAACCAGACATCTCCACCATGATCAGATGGCGATCCCCCCATACTTGAGCACCGGCACGTCGGCGCCGACGGCGGACAGGGCGTCGGCCAGGACCCTCTGACGCTGGCGCTCGCGCTCGATGGTCTCGATGGTCTCGCGCTCGCGGCGGGCCTTCGTCTTTGCCGAGCCGCTGGGCGCCACGCCGGCCATGAGCACGTCGTGGTCCTGCGCCGTGTAGTTGACGAAGCCGAAGGAGCCCGGCGGCGGGGGCGGGGGGGACGGCGGCGGTGCAGCAGCAGTATAAGTAGATGAGGAAGAAAACGACCCGCCGCCGCCGCCGCCGATGAGGTTGTTGGTCGATAGGGCTTTGCGCGGCACGCGGCGGCACGGCGAGGACGGCGAGGGGGAGTAGTAGAAGGACCCCCCGGCGGATGACGAGAAGGAGGAGTGGTGGTTGTTGCGCCCGCCGCCCTCGGACATGGCCAGCGCCGCCGCCACGGCGGCCTCATGGGTGGTGCTACTGCTGCCGTTGCTGCTGTTGGTTGCCTGCCGCGCTGCTGCCGCCGCGGTGAAGGACCGGCGCTTCCGGACCGCGCCCGGCTGGGGCACGGCCGGCGCGGTTGCGGCCGCTGCTGCCGATGATGACGACGCGTCCCGCAGCGACTGCATCGAGGCGCTGCGGCGCTGCTGCCCGCTGCCGCCGCGCAGGCCCGCCGGCG